TTTTTATGGGTTTTAGGCTGCTCAAAATTTTCTTTTTAGTTAAAAATATAGCTCAGACTGAATTTTGGCCCAAAATAGCAAGTTTGGTACAAATTTTTACTGACACACTTGTGTAGGCAAAACTCCCTACGCCCCCTCAAAACGACGCACTGTACGTCTGTACACCCCGCTATTTCTCGCTTCACGATAATATCTTAATAAAGGAATTGATGATCCTAACTCACAAGCAATCAACTGAATAAGCAAATTGCAAGCCTAATCGAATCAATTACAACAAATTGCAATGTTGTTGCTGTTGTTGTTATGGCAGCGGTGATGGCGAGATGATGGTGGTTGTTGTGGCAGTGGCGGTGCCGAGCAACAGTGGCGGTGGCAGCGTCGACAACGAGAAACGATGATTGTTGTGGTTGAGGCTGAATTTGAGTGGGTTATTAGAGAGGGAAAATGTAAAGGATTGAGAAGGAGAGAAAATAATAAAGAGTGAAGCTCAATCAAATCTCCATTAGTGAAGTTTGTGGTTTTACCAGGGATTATATAACTCTTTTTTTTTTTTGGAAAATTAGCTTAAAATAATACCAACTATCAACGGTGTGTGCAAAACAATATGAACTTAACTATTTGCTATGAGCTGAACCACCTTTTGTACTATATGTGCAAAATAGTATGCCGGTCATCGAAAAAGTATCGCGAGGAATACTCTGTCTATATCTATTAGATCCTCCGTTTCATAATGTTAGTCTCATTTAGGATCTTTAGACTATTAAAAATTAGAGGAAATTTTCTGAATTTCTCTCTATATAAAAACAAACATAGTTATATAAGATCTAATTTATTCTTTTTGATGAGTACATTATTAATATCTAATTTTTATAATTTTTTCTAGTGTGAGATTAAAGATATTTGAGAAAGGTTTTGCATCGATATATGTAAATACATTATGAAACAGATAGAGTATTTTTTTTTTTTGTTATTAATTTTTTGTTTTCTTTTCAAAATATATATTATGTTACCAATTTCCTTAACAGTACAATCAATATTATCAATAATGCCCCACCCCTATGATTGGATTTTTTTTTTAATTGTCAATATGTATTTAAATTTTTTTTTTTCAAAATACCTGTAGTAATTTCTACTTCCACATAATAATAAATAGGGTAATTAAATGCAGTATTATTTTGATATAATTAGTTTAAATAATTGTTAAAAAAATCCAAAAAATTTCCCACAGTATTTTGGTTGGTGAATGTGGGAAATTTTGGATTTCTGGAACTAATTATATTAACATAATAATGCATTTATATACCCTATTTACTATTGTGTGATAGTAGAAATTACTACAATACATATTGAAATTCATAAATAAAAAAAATTAAAAAAAAAAAAGAAAAAAGAAGCCTAACAAAGGGGTGGGGCATTATTAATTTAGATTATAAAGGAAATTGTTAACATAATATGTATTTTGAAAAAAAAACAGAAAATTAATAAAATAATATAAAATAATCATAAATACAGATGGAATATTTCACGAAATACTTTTTCAGTGATCGGCGTACTATATTGCACATACAGTACAAAAGGTGGTATCGCTAACAGCAAATAGTTGAATTCGTATTATTTTGCACACACCGTTAATAGTTGGTTTATTTTAAGTCAATTTTCCTTTTTTTTTATAATATATAAGGGTATATAAATTTTACAAATGAACATATAACAATTTGTAAATGAACATTCAAGATATTCCTATTGCTAGAGGAAATCTCATTCAAGGTTTAAGAAAGTATCAACTCAATTTACTAGTCATGTTCCTTTTAATAGTTCAATAAATTTTATGCATGATCAATCTTGGTTTCTTTTTTGTTACAATCCTCCTTTTTTCTAATTACTATTTGATCTTTACTTATGTATCAAAATGAAAATGAATAACTATCAATACAAAATTGAACACTTTTTTTTGTTGATGAATCTGGTTTTGCGACATCTTTTTCCCTAAAATTATATATACGAAGTATTTGATATGACTTTCTTTGGGTGTATGATTTACGATAAATTTTACTAATAAAAAAGGGTTAATTAAGAAGAATGTTATAGTTAGGCGTACCTTTTGTTATTGTGTTGTTAATGAGCATTTAGTGATATGGTAAGGAACATATATATAGTTAAAAGAGATGACATAGTGTTGAGATTTCAATAAACTAGTAATGATCGATGTGATAATGAACGTGGTCATTTTAATATAATTTTATATAGTTTACAATTTTATTTTTTTTTTTTTTTAACAATTTTACAATAATATCCGGCAAACAATATTGTTACTTTTCTACTATGAACCCTAAACAATAATTAATACCTACATACTAATGTATGAATTGAATTATAACATATGAAGTATAACTTGTTTATCAAATATTCTAATATAGTCGTGGAGGTTTTAAATTGACAACTTATGTTAATGATCAATCACCAATGCAATTTAAGTTGTTTTGAACATTTAGCTATTTGTTTATGAACATGTTACTTTTCTAATATGAACATTTTATATATATATATATATATATATATATATATATATATATATATATATATATATATATATATATATATTAGCAAAATGTATGCATCTGAAGGATGTGATGATTCATAGTAGTACTCAAGAAAAAGGATATTTCCATTTCCTTCTTAATAAAATAAAAGTGAAATTGTAAATGACAAAAATTGAAAGATTAGATATATATCAATATATACAATACAATTCCGTATATATTTAATATCAAACACAATAAATTTTTCGATCCAAATTCAAAAAAATTCAAGCTTATGTTATCGGTTCATGTTGTTTGGTGACTCCATGTCTTCTTGGCTTATTTTCTTTTTGTCGTTTTCCTTTTTTTCTTGTTATTGAGTGGTCCAACTCACTATATCCACGATTCTTTTTCTAATTGATAGACAAAACATATTAAATATTGGATTTGAACCAAAAAAATAAGTGTTGAAATGAACCAATTTTCCTATGAAAATGAACATATATATATATATATATATATATATATATATATATATATATATATATATATATATATATATATATATATATATATATATATATATATATATGAACATTTATCAGTTTGGAAATGACCATGACAGATAATGATCGATGAACATGAAATATATACGTGAATAAAATTGTGAAGTTATCATTAAGTGATTGACCATATATTCATATGAGATTGAACATACATTGAATTTCAAACTTATTGAAATGAACGTTATTTTTTAATGTGAAAATGAACAATAATCCAAGTGAATATATTTCAATATGTGAATGAACATTTTTTAAAATATGAATGAACATATAAATATATTAAAATTTGAATAATCATTTGATAATATGTGAATGAATATATATTAATATTAAATGAAGATCTAACTAAATGAGAATGTATGTACATCGATCTATGAGCGATCAAAATATATATCAATATTTAAATGAACATTTTTTTTTCTAAAAGAGAATGAATATCTAGCAATAATTGACCATTTACTTATAAAAATCTAGACAATTGTTCTCAACTTTTTGTTTTTAGGCGAATAATTTAATAAAATAATAAGAGCACACCACAAATTAATATAATTCAATTGTAATAGTAAAAAGAATCACTTCCCTGAAAACTATAAGTAATCACAAATATTAGAATTGACCATTTCCTATTAGATCTTTAGAAAATATTAGAAGAAGATGACAAAAATATAAAGATTTATCAAAATTCTAATAACCGTATGTTAATGTGTAAATGATCATATACTATGATGTGATTGAACATCTACCTATATAAAAATGAACATTCATAAAAAGAATTTTCCATTCTAAACTATAAAACAGATATACAAATGAAAATTTATATTAATCATTGATTAACATGTGAATGACTCTGTACTAGCTAATATATATATATATATATATATATATATATATATATATATATATATATATATTTATATGAACATTTATCAAATTGAAAATTAACCTTCGTGAAAAGGAACTTTCACTACTCTGAACTAAATTTACCTTTCTACAGTCATACGAAACAAATCATCAAATTATCAAAAAATTGAGGCAATTGAACTTTGTTTTCAATTTTTAGTCCAACAATTTTCTTATTTAATAATAACACACCAAAAATTTAATTTGTTGCAATTGCCTCCCATTGATACATATTCAACTGATCCAAAAGTTCGCAAAAAAAAAAATAATAATAATAATAAAATATAAAAAAAAAAAAGAAAGAAAGAAGGAAAGAAAAAACTGATCAAAATAGAAAGAGTTTATTTCCTAATATGAATTTAGCTTGAAAGAGAAAAAATAAAAGAGAAAGAAAATGGTGGTGATTAACTGTGTGTATTTTTATAAAATAAAATTATGTGGCTTGGGAAGTTGGGGTAGGTAGCAGTTTGTTGGGTCACTTGTAGTACCGTCAAATTTCAAACCGAAACCGCTTAATTTCCCGAATCCAACCGACCCAAATGAGAACCGAACTGATTAAAAACCGATTTTTTGAAATCGAAAACTGACCCGAACCGCATTTTAGTAAACCCGAAACCGAACCGATCCGAGTAATGTTAAACCGTTTAAGAACCGAACCAAATCTAAACTGAACTGAAAGGAAATTGAACCGAAAATGAATCGAACCATTTCTTACCCGAAACCGTTTGAACTGGCATAAAAACCGTTTACACCGAACCGTTTATAAACCGAACTGATTATAAACCGAACCGCTTATAAACCGAACCATTTATAAACCGAATCGCTTATAAATCGAACCGTTTACAAACCACTTACTATAAAGAAAAGATTAAAACCAAGTTAAAAGGTATTTTAAATGAAATCTAATTATGCACATATGTGTTTTATTTTTTTCTTTTATTTGAAACATAATTATTATGCGCACATGTTTATTAATTAATTAGATCATGCATTCAATTAGCCAAAGTGAAAGCAAGCATTAAACACACCTCAATGAGCACATCCAATTCATTTAGAATTAACCATACACACCACAATACTAGCACTAATCAATCGCAAACAAACACTATTGATAGTCTAATTAGTCAAATAGATAGAATTGTAGAATTGACTAACAACCTAGATCACTCCCGTACACTAGGCCATTAAACTCATAATCTAAATTACAATCTAGGAAAACAAGATTACAAAACAAAGATTATAACTACAAACTAAGATTATAACTAAATCTAAGCCTAAACTAAGATTTTGTGACCGTTGCCTCAAGTTGCTTGTTGCGTTTTATAAGGGGAAGAAGCAAGGAGAAGGGCTGTTGCGTACCCCTTTCGCCGCGCCCTCTTCGCTGAACGCCGTGCCCGCGGCCTTGTCTGGAGAGGCCTCTCTAGACCATCTCCAAGGCATCTCCAGGATCTTTGTCACCACCTCCGTCACATGAAGTATATGAACAACAATATAAATTAAACCTAAAAATCAGAAATTATATGAACAAGAACAACAATATAAATTAAAATTTACATGAACAACAATATAAATTATACCTAAAAATCAGAAATTATATGAACAATAACAACAATATAAAATAAAAATTACATGAACAACAATATAATCAGAAATTATATGAAGAACAACAATATAAATCAGAACTAAAAATCAAAAAATAAAGCCATGCAAAATACCCTTTCCCGTCAAACAACAAATCAACAACAAATCTACCCTTTCCCGTAAAAAGAAAAAAAAAAATATATATATATAATAAAATTACAAACTAACAATAGAAATTAACAACAAAAATTTTAGGCATATTAAGATTATTATCAAGCAAGAGCAACAACAAAAATCAAATACTTAAACTGTATTAAAAAAAAAAAAAAAAAAAAACCAGAACTGGAGATCGAAAAAAAAAATCAAATACAGAAAATTACCTTTGAGATTTGACGACTTGAAGGAGAGGAAGATTTGAAGATGGAAAACTGGAGATCGAAAAAAAAAATCGAGAATGGAGAACTTGAGATCGAAAAAAAAAATCGAAACGAAAACAAAAATAATTAACTAAAAATTACCTTTGAGCTATTGAAGGCTGAGAGCTTGAGAGTTGAGAACTTGAGAGTTCAAATGAGAATGGAGAATTCAGCGGCTTCGATTTGAGGATGAAGATGTGAAGAACCGAAGAATGAGTGAAGAAAATGGGAGAAAAGGTCGAAAGAGTTGAAGAGCAGAGAGAATGATGAGTGGACCTAACCTAATTCAGTAATTCAGTTTCACCTTTTTTTTTTTTTTTTTTTTTGCATAATATATGAACCACATGTTTATTTAATTATTTAACAATCAAAATATCTAAATTCTAAATCTAAAATTTATTTTGCCTTTTGGTTTTTGGAGGGAAATTTCCCACCATTCATATTTTGACAAAATTGTCAAACAAAAAAAATTGAAATCAATTTTCCACTTTGTAAAAATCAAAATTTTTCATTTTATTTTAATATCATTAAACAAACTTTTATACAATTAATTAATTACATGGCTTCAAAAAAAAAAATTAATTACATTTCTCGAATCCCGATAAAACGATATATACCTTCATAGTATCAGCTTTTATATTTTTTTTGTTAACACACACATTAACTTATTAAGTTATTTAAATTATAAAATGTGAATCGTTTAGTGTGTAAATGTCTAGCGTTGTGATTAATAAAAAAATCGAAGACCGTATAATAATATAATGACGTCATATCTTAGAGAGTTAGAAGTACTACGGATTTGTTATATGATTATATTTATATCAGTTTAGCTGTGTCTGTAAGCAATACACTTGTAATCGTGTAATAAACTTATAAATGATAGAATTGACTAGTAGATTAGTACATAAATACAAATCACTTAATTAGATATGACTATATGAGTGATTGACTAATATGACTATATGAGCAATTGTCAATTTAGCATAGTTGCATAACAGATTAACAGCGTACTAGACTATCCTACTCGGTAATATACTAATAGCATTTCAGTATTTGATCTATTAGACTCAAGTTAAAAGTTACTCTTTCTTATTAACTTGTTAGTCTAATTAAGTAATTACCAATTACGAATTAGTGACTTAAGCCTTAGGGGTAAACCAGTAAAGGATATACAAAAATATAATAATCTTATGATTCTCATCACTTTATACTAATAAATATTTAACTATGAGAATATGAGATGGTTAGATGTTATGTATATGTATAATCGATTGAAAGAATCAATATTACCTTCTTAATCATTAATGTTTTAAATTCTTTCATTATACAAATCAAACTACTTTGTAATATCTTCATATATAACTTTATGCAAATATATAATGATAGACGATCCTTAATTATCAGTCTTGTTGACTAATTAAGTATCGAATACCAAATTGCAAATTTCGATGTCACAACAACTCATTAAATCATGATTATGATTTATGACACTATTAATTAAATGATCAAATAAGAAGCAGATAATAATCTGATGGTAAAACAATAATACATTATTAATGCACTAAACTTTTATAATCTACTTCGTAATAAACTAGTATGATTAGTATGGGTAAACTTGAAACATAACATGATATGTATTTATAAAATTAATGAGAATTTGCATATAATATGATGCCTCAATATGAAGTGATGAAGTCTCGGCTTGATATAAAACTTGTTAACCAGCAAAAAGTTAGAAAGTAGTATCAAATTTCAAACCAAAACCATTTAATTGCCCAAATCCAAACCACTCGATAAAAAACCGATTTTTTAAAATCAAAAACAGACCCGAACTAAAATTTAGTAAACCTGAAATAAAACCGATCCGAATAATGTTAAACCGTAGAAGAACCGAACTCGTTAACGAACCGAACCAGCTATAAACCGAACTAAAATAAAACTGAACCAAAGAAGAACCGAACCATTTCTAACCCGAAATCGTTTGAATCGGGATAAAAATCGTTTACACCGAACCGTTAACAAACTGCAACCCGTTTGCACCAAACCGTTTACTACCCGGACCGTTTACAACCCGTACTGAATTTAAACTGGGATAAAAACCGTTTACACCCAACCGTTAACAAACCGCAACTCGTCTGCACCGAACAGTTTACTACCCGGACCGTTTACAACCCAAACTGAATTAAAACCGTTCAAGAATAAACCGAAACCGAATCGAACCGATAATGATTTAAACCGAACTAAAACCGACCCGTAAGACACTTGAATCGATTTCAAACCGACCCGATTTCAAACCGAACCGAAACCAAACTGTCAAACCGTTTTGACATTACTAGTCACTTGGGTGCGGGAGAGTGTGGATGAGAGGGTGTAGGTAGATTTCCCTAGTCTTGGGTGTAGGGTTTAATAATTACAAGTTTGGGCACAGTTTAATTTTTGGCTCAAAATTGGGTACGATGCGAAGCCTTGGCCTGAAATAGGCCAACTTTTTTGGCCAGGTCCAACCCATGACCAGCTCTATTTTGAGTCAACCAAACAATTATCTATTGAATCAATTCCCCTAACTTTTTTTTGTTTGGAAAAATTAATGGAAATAATCCCCCGTTCCGCTCAAAATAAATTAACTAGATATAATCCCAACTTTCAGTGAATTCGCTCAAAGTAGTCCGTAACCTACTAGCAATGGATGGTAACCTGTATGAAAGGTTAATTAGATACATGTGATTGATTCTAATTTCATTAATCAAAGTTTTAATATATTTTTATTAACAGTATGTGATTTTTGGATTTTAGCTTCTAGATGTTTTGCTTTACCAGTCACCACTACAGAGTACAGGCCATAACCACACACCAGCAGTCGTCCAGTCCCACCATAAAACCACCACAAAAGACGGTCCAACCCACACCACTGCAAACGGCGGCTGCGCATCCAAAATTACAACATAAACCATTAAACCCCAAACACAACCAATCAACTCAAGAAAATTTTATTTAAAAAGAGAGAATTAAGGAAGAGAAAGAAAGAAGAGAAGCGGCTATGGTGACTCAGGTGGCGACGACGTGAAACAGCGACGGCGGCGGCGAGAATTGGATAATTGATAAATGTTGATGAGTGGATGATAATTGATGGTGATGACTGATGAGTGTGAAGATTGGATTAAAAAAAAAGGAAAATTTTAAGATTTCTAACATGTTTGGCCGGTAACCTGTAAACGAGAGCATTTTGAGAAATTTTGGTTAATGTTGGGATTATACCCACTCAAAAATTGGGATTATCCATCGATTTTCCTTTTTTGTTTCTAGCCAAGAAAGCCCTTATTTATTTACTTGATTCGGAGTAATAAAAAAGAATTATTAAGTGATAATTTCGTAAACTGGATTTTCTCCTCAACACCCTCTATTTCTACTTGTACTCCCACCGTCCCTTTATTTTTGCCCCATTACCATTTTTTGGGTCAAACTTTGAAAACTTTAACCATAAATTACTGTTAATTTATGAACGATAATATAGTCATGAGCGGTCTTGTTAGATTCGTCTCGTTGTATATTTTATTAATATCATGTTTTTATAATTTTCACGTGCATGGACCTAAAAATATAGACGTTTTAAGACGCGTCTTGAAGATCGTGTATAGTCAAATAGACAATAAAATAGGGAGGGAGTAATTGCAAAATACTCACTTCTATATTAGCAGAAGCGAATTTCTAGATTCTCCTTGATAACCGAAACCAAGAGAAAAACAGAGCAACTTTCAGAGAGAAAGAGGGCAAAATCCATGGAAAAATTGAAGTCAATAATACCATTTGAGATTAAGAAGAAGATAGAACAAAGCAATACCAAAGATCTTCCTTCTACCACTTCATCCCTCCATTATTTCTTCGCTAATTCTTCCCTCTTTCACTCAGTAAGAATTCTTCATCCCAATTTTTCTGTAGTAAATAAATGCTTCTTATGAAATGTTGATTGATTTCAATTTATAAATTCATTATTATTTCTGCCATTTATAACTGAAATTTATATTGGGTTTGAAATGTTGTTGTAGATGGTTGAGGATTTGACAAATCCTGAACTGGGGTTTTGCTCCAAGAACAAGGAGACTGCTTTGGAGTTGAAGAATAAGGGAAATGCTTGCTTTTCTTCCTCGGATTACTCCCAAGCTGCTCATTTCTATTTTCAAGTAACAATTTTTTCCCCTTTTGATTTGTTTTTAAAGGAAATTAACATATATCATACCCTTTGATCATAGTGATTATAGTATTTGTTTTATGATGTGTGCTTTTCGGTTTAGTTATTGGGAGGGAGAACCTCTATTATGGACTCGGGTGCACATAGAGGTAGCCACTAGCTAGTAGATACACCATGGCTAACTTTCCTCATGTTTAAATTTTGTGCAGACGAGTTTATAAAAAATACTCTTGGGTGCACCTAATTCTAGATACGCTTGGTGTGCATAAGAATTTTCAGACATTTCAATTGGGTGGTGTTGCTTGTTTTCGATGAGTATCGAAGCTAGCTTTGATCCTATGTGTAAATTGCAGTGAAGATATTGCATTAACAAATTTTGAATGAACTAGAAGCTATAAATTAAGGGTTTCTAATCCTACTTGTATGTAGCATTTTACATGCAGGATGTTAATGAAGGGTATCAATGATTTTTGATTTTTTGTATAAACTTTTTCCATTTTTTTTATTAAACAAAAAAAAAAATAAAATTATTTTGTTAATGTTTCACTAAAGATATATTATCAAAGGTGTATCTTGGAGACAGTGACAAAAAAATTTAATTTACTTTTATAGAATCGAGGGACTAAAAGTTAAACTATGTTACTAAGCATTTAGGAAGGCAGTGGGTCTAGAACTCTACCCTATAATGAGGATATGAGTCTTATTTATTTAGACCCAATGGGTCTGGGTAAGGTATGGATTTATGTGGTATTGGGTAGGGTAAAGATCTAGGTCCAATGTTTTTTGACCCTATTCATGTACATGCCGAACCCACCCTAACATAGACCCTCCCAAGTTTGATTGCATCTTGATGATGAAATTGATTACATATATGCATTAATGTGAGACTGTAAATTTGTTAAATGATTATGGACAAAGATGTTTTGTGTGGCTACTACTATACTAGCCCTCCTTTAAATGTATGACAATGTCAAATGGATCGTTGGTCATGTATTATTTTATGTTCATTAGGTACGTAAAAGTTAAACACTTCATTGTTGATATCCTCATATTATTCATTGAGTTACTTTTTTCATTTGATTGGTGGTCAAAGATTGACATGATAATCAAAAACGTATTTGTGAATGGAGTATGAATTCCCTATGGTTAAATGTGAAATTGTATTTCAAGAGTTAAACCAAGAATTTATTTTTGTAAAAAAGGGTAACTATGTTGGAATCCTCTTTCTTGAAAATTTGAAACTTTATAATGGAGAAATTATCTGAGTGAAAAGCTACTTTTTTTTTTCCTTGATAGCCTCTATAGTTTTGTATATTGCTAACTCAATATTTTTTTTGATGTGAACTATAGGCTTTACGTGTTGCTCCTGTTGATGTTGTTGACAAAGGCAACAAGTTGGTTGCAGCTTTGTTTGTGAATCGGGCTTCTTCTTTTCATGTGAGTTTAACTCTATATATTTGTCCGTGCTTCATTTCTTAATAAGTTATTGTTTTCTTGAGAACTGAGCGCGTTGCAGTTCCTTGGAGCTTACATTTGATTTCAATCATGGCATATGCTTTAAGAACTCTATAGCATGTGTTCAGGAGTTTGAAGAATAAAATGTTACTTGCTACCTACAAAAGATGACCTTTTTTGTAGTTACTGATGGTGTTAGTGACCTTAGTGTGCTCTTAATCATGTTTTTAAGATGGATATTCTATGTTTAATTGTTGATTGCTTTGAACTACTTTGTAATATACTTTGTATAAGGCCACTACTTCCTTCATTCTTACATTATGCAACAATTGAGGGTTTTTTATTTTTTTATTTTTATTTTATTTTTTTTACTTATAGGTAATTAATGATATTAATGGGTAAAGCTGTGCATTGAGTTGCATAAAAACTGAATTGTTGCAATGCAAAAGGAATGGAAGAATTGTTAGTTTCTAGTGGAATTAAGTCAGCTTTAATGAGAGGCCATACCTGGACCAGATGAAATGTTGTTTAAGGATTATTGTTGCATCCATCTTAAAACAAATTAAGATAGAATATCCTCAGGATGATAAGGTAAAACATAATAAATTTCGAAAAAAATTAGAAAAAGATTCCACAAAACTTCTGTTCCTACCCTTGTCCCTTCCATCAACCATGTCCAATCATACCAATCGTTCACCAATGGGCCCTTCATTGGTAGAATTCCATGTCAGCATTGAAGAGCTAAGTAGTTTAGTTGGTTTTAAGCTGTCTTTGTTCAGATTCATCAATTGGTGAAACTATATAGCATATGCTTCCCTGTTTTCTACTAAGAGGGAATATTTTAGAAAATTGTTTTTGACTGAAGGAGTGTGCAACATGGTACTAAGTCAACGCTTATCTATTTTGCAGTAAGAAACTCCTATGCTTTTCATTTGTGGGAGGTCGAGGGAGGTGGTTATACAATTAATGGAATTGGGACAAGGATGTCTCAATAGCCAGATAGAGAAAGGTTAATGTAACATAATGTCATAGCTTGCTCTTTTTTTTGCGTTTCCTTTTCCTTCTACGATATACATCTTCGTTTCTCTACTGTCTATCATGCAAACAATAAAATTTTTGAATTTGCCTCTTATCCCCAGAAAATGAGTCTTTTGGAGGAGTCCCTACGAGATTGCAATCGAGCTCTTTCAATTAGTCCAAGATACGCCAAGGTGAAAACTCTTGCCTTTGTTATGCTTGCAGCTTGCTGTTCTAGATCTCTCACTTGAAAGCCTTGTTTCTCTCTGTTTTTGAAGAGTTCAGCATGATGTGGTGTTTATCACTTTGAATATATTACAATGTTTATTGTCAATTTTGTAGCACAAGAGTGATTCAACTGTGCCATCCAGTACTTAATTTCACAAGCTGTCTGTTTTAAAAATAATCTCAATAGGAGCAGCTTCTCTTTCTGTGTATATATTTCATACAGACACTTCCATAGAATGTTTTCCAGGATGTTAACTTGAAAGTAACTTTTACTTTTATATGGTTATGAAAGGTGAAGCTAGATATTGCTATACATTCTTGAATTTCATTCTATACCATTTGGAATTGCTATACATTCTTCAAATTGCAATTTCTTTCTTTAAGCAATCCATTAATTCAAGTTGCATTATCTGTTATACATAAAAGAGAAAATTAATTAATGGATTTCTTAAAGAGAGAAATTGCTTCATTTGGGTTTTGCTAATCATAGCCCTAAGGCTTATGGATAGCATTTAATTAATATACTTATCAAAATAGTGATAAACTGGAAATTTATGACAAAATCACATGTGGTTTTGTGTTTGTCTAAACATGTTTAGTCTTTCTATATTTAGCTTCTGTGTTTGCACTCTTCTTTTGATCTTTTGTTTGCATAGGCATGAGGCTTGAAGGCCTTAATTAAGGATGGACTAAGAATCAGATTCACTTTATTGATTACAGTTATATCTGAATATATTGTAGGCTTGGTACAGGAGAGGCAAGGTTAACACTTCTTTGTTAAATTATGAAGATGCAATCTGTGACTTGATGGTAGCCTTGGACTTTGAAGGAACTTCAAGTGGAAAGAGACAAATACAAAATGATCTGAAGTTAATGGAAAAGGAAAACCAAAAGTCTGAAAATCCCTTTCAAGAGCTCAGCAGGCAAGAGCAGCTTGTTATTGATGAGGGTATGTAATGCCATTCACATTTTCATTTGTTTTACTGCTGCTGGCTGTATTTTAAGCTCTTAATTAGCATTTATCTTTCAGAAATCAGTATTGTGCATGACTCGTACATAAAAGCTTTTGAGGGAAGTAATATATTTTTTGGAAGTGACAATAATCATACCCCTGTATGTCATCAGGATTTATAGATAAGTGATTTCGAAGTATAACCAGTAAACAATTTCACTCCTTTGCCTTAGTGATTTAGTGTGCCTTGATCCTTTTCAAACACTGGTTGTGTAAGGAGTCTTGGTATACCTCTTTTCCATTGTACAGGGTTTAGGGTGTCCAAATATAAGGTATTGTGACAGGTAGCTGTCATGTTACATTTCCAATGTATTTTTTTTAAGGTAAGGAAAAAGACCCTAACCAGGCCTCAACCCTCAAGGTATTTTTGGTCCATTATTTGCGGATTAGACACTTTGAGAGTGAGGGGGAAGGGTGAGGGATTCCCACCCTCAAAGTTACCCTAGTGGGGATTGAACCTCTAACTTTGGTTGGAAGGTGCAATCTTTCCCACTAGACCAAAATTAGCTTGGTAAATTTCCAGTGTTCTTGGTTAGAGCAGAATTTGTGTAATTTTATCAGGAGACTTCCTTGCATGTGTTTCGCTCTTTTTAGGGACTAATTATTATCTGAAATGTTAAGGAAATAGGTTTATCCAGAATATTTTGCTATTGCTTGTAGGACATCTTGTATTCTTGTCCTCCTTTGCACTCTCTTTTTTCTTAATGTTATGGAATATAAATTTCTAGTTGTTACACTACTTATTTTAAACATATAAGTAGCCTAGCAGCCCAGAACATACTTTCTTGGGATTGTTAGGTTTGATCTTCTTGAGCTAGGAATTTCAAATTATTCTTCTCATATTTTTTGTTATGATTCTTTTTTTTTTTAAGGGAAATGTTCCATTTTATCGATTTGTCAATTTAGAAACTGTCATTTCTTGAGTTGTGAGATTTTTTTTTCCCTATAGATGAGATGCCGCCAGTGGAGTTGCAGTGTGTATCTACTCCAACCAAAGGGAGAGGCATGGCTTCACTTTTTGAGATATCTTCGGCTACTTTAGTTCATAAGGAAGAGCCTTATGCTGCGGTATAGAATTTTCTGTTTTGCATTAGAAGATTCTTTTAGCTTCCTTTTTTGGGATGTCCCAAGCATCTTTATTGCGACATATGTGTACATGCAAAGCTCTTTTTTTTTTGAAGAATTTTTTACCTATCCAACTCCTCATTTGTTACAATCATCAGTAAAAGGAATGATAATGACTTTTATGTAGTTTTTAATAAATCATAGGCATGTGAGTGTCCATGCTTATAGATAACCAATAAGATTTATTTTCAATGTTGATTTCTGTTGCCACCTATACTTGATTGTTAATGTATACAATGGGAAGGGGTTGCTGTTTTATCCTGTTATAAATTGTCTGATATGCATCTTTCACAGATCATATTGAAGAACTTCAGAGATACACATTGTCATTTTTGTTTCAGTGAACTACCAGCGGACAAAGTTCCCTGTACGTCATGCTCAATACCACTGTACTGCTCTGATCATTGCCAACTTCAGTCAGGAGGACGGGTTTTAAAAAAAACATGTAATAAACAACGAAAGTGATGATATTCTTTCTGGTGAATCTTTCAAGTACTTAAAGGTGACTTCAGATAGTCATTTGGATCCAGGCATTGAGTGCTTTACTGAACATGGACATGAATGTTGTGGTGTGAATTGGCCTGTTGTGTTGCCAACCCAGGTGGTATTAGCTGGTCGGATTTTAATGAAGTTGGTAGAACTAAAAGAGGATTCAAAAGATTTGGTATCCACTCAACTTGTCTTGTAAACGCTTTTATTCTTTAATTTATTCTTGTTCAACCTGCATGATAAAAAGTTTGGTACGTGATGTCTGCTCACCTTTTAAACAGGACCTTTTTCATAATTATGTACATCTCCCTCCAGAAAGCAAAGTGGAGTTGCATGTATACTCAATCGTGCTGCTTTACTGCCTTCACTCTTATTGTAGTTCTAAATTCAAGCTGCAAGGAGCTATTTTTGCAAAGGTCCATCTCTATTTCTTAAAGCACCCCCACCTCTTCCCTCCCCAACTGCTAAGAAATTATGCATATGCTTGAGCTTTAAGCCATATAAGTTGAGTATTGCCTTATCCCACAAGCTTCTATGTATCGCTTAATGCTTATTTTGTGAATATAGCAAAAATTACAAGTTACTGAGAAAGATCATGTCTACTTGAAATTAGGATTAACACCATTTCTATTCTTGTTATCTGAACCTTCATCGATCCTTGGAATACCAGGAATGAGAATTCTGAGATTTGGCAACATCAACTTTCTTTGGCTTGAATAGTTGAATGGACATAATAAAAGTGGATTTTATTTTAATTTCTCTTTGAACTGAAGTCATTTCCTTGATTGCTTGTAAAATTTGAAATGTGATAATGTAATAATAGCAATATCAATGCAAGTCAAATGCTTGTCTGAACGGATTTGAATTTCTTTCTATTTTCTTTGTTGTATGCATAGTCAAAGACTTTAACAGCCCCAATCCTTTTGCAGGCCATCATTCTTATTTCTCAAATAAAGGTCAATTCCATGGCAATTGTTCGTATGAAATCTGCAGATATGTATCATCCATCGAAGCAATCAGGAAATTTGTCCTTACCTAGAGATAGCATGACAAGCAATCTTGAGCAGGTGTTGTTTTCATTTTTACAAGTATATTTTAACAATATGCCTGACATGTTCTTCCATCATTTGATTTGAACATTGAAGATTTTGATATTAAAAAAGGGGTGTCAAGTGTCAACACTTAATTTTATGGGTTGTGGCCCATATATTGAATGTTGCACGGATCAATCATGTAAATTTTGGGGCTTATATATTATTTTACATCTAATCTCGCCTGCTTTCATTTCCACGTGCCATGCATGTTTCTTTTAACTGTAGCTATATTGCCAACTTTGGTAACTGTAGGCTTGTAGTCGTGTAGAGTTAAAGTATTTGGTGCTAAACAGAAAGATAGAGCTGGCAAATAACTTGTGTCAGTTGCTGAGTGAGGTTTGTGTTCATGTGCGTGTCAATAGTAAACAGGATGGAAAGCCCCTAATCCCATTTATTTAACAGGTGGGAAATTAAACCCTAATCTAGTTTATAGCTGGATGTATCAACTATAACCTTCCCCATACAATGGTAAAGATTTGAGGGGGAAGGGGGTGGTATGAGGAGAGAACAACAACTATTATTAATACTAATTTCTATACGTTTTTATCGGTTATCTGTATATTTTGGAGTACACTATTCACGGCTTCACGCAAATCCAAATTCATACTTTATTTATATGAAAACGAAGGAAGTTGATACCTTTCTTTTTTCTTTCTTTTTTTTTTTTTTTTTTTTTTTTGTGGGTAATGAATTTGATACTAATCTGGCTGTACCATTTGTTCTTTTATCTTAGGCGAGAGTTGGGCAAGCAGTATACTTATCTGGCAGTATGTTTAACCATTCCTGCATGCCTAATATCCATGCATACTTCATTTCTCGTACACTTTTGATAAGAGCCACAGAATATGTGCCCGGTGGATGTCCATTGGAGATGTCTTATGGACCACAGGTACTATTTTTCTCATCCTTTTTTGGATACGTTCAGACTGCTTGTTGACATTATGCTTTGTTTTATATGTCCTCTTAGCAACTCTAGGTTCTTGATTCTCTTTCATGCAGTGTTGCAAAAGATTGTGGTTTCTCTGCTTATAGTGTTATATATATTCTTTCAATATTATTTACCTTGTTTGTAATAACTGATTGCAACACGTGTTTGCAGGTTGGGCAGTGGGATCACAGAAACCGACAGCAATTTCTACTGGACAGATATACATTTAAGTGTCAATGCAATGGTTGTACTAGAGCTAATCTTCCAGATCTTGTCTTAAATGCTTTCCGGTGTGCTAAAGTTAATTGCTCTGGTGTGGTTCTTGATGACTCTATGGTGGAGTATGAAAAACATAAATTTTGTCATTTACCAGAGACACCTGAAAATCACAGTATGGAGCATCAACGAGAGGTATGTGCAAGATCCATAGAAGTATGAAACACTAAATGTGTCTTCTTAAATGATGAAAACAATCTATGCAATTAAATGTCGTTGAGAATAGAACACAAAAATGTCCAAAAGGTGTTGACCAGCTTGATGTACTGTCAAACCTGTGGTTCAAAGTAACAGAATGGACTAGTCTGGAATTTGAACTGAAAGGCTTGGATACATATTGACTTCGTAAAAAAATCAAATTGCCCTTTCTATAACATGGAGATTTCTTGAAACTGAGACAAAAAATTGACCTCATTCAACAAATCAACCAAGTATTTGTGCATCATCATCAGTGGGCCCAATTATTATGTTCTTAAATAAGAAAGCCTATAGTTTCAACTTCTTCACAGTTTGTGTAACTTTTTTTCAAGATTTAATAATATTGTAACTTAATGTTATCTTATGGATAAAAAATGTTGTATAGTGTGCTTCACTTCTTAGGGAATATTATCTTTGCTTTCTCTGATAATTTGATTTGCTCTTTATTGGACCGTGTTACTATTACTAATTTCTTGCAGAATTTCTAATTCTTTTGTTTGACCTCAATATGAAGGTTGACAAGTTAATGCATGATGAGATTAAGAACGTTGCTTGCCTCATGTCTGAACATAGTAGTCACTGCCGTGAGATTCAGTCTGGATGTTGCCTGAAATGTGGTTCCACTAATGATCTGAAGTATCTGCATGCGACAACTGATGAAGCTGATACATATTTTCGAAGGTATAACCTTAAGTGAAAGGGAAGTGTTGCCTTGTAGTGCAAATGTTAAATCTATCCACTTTTTTCTGATTGGTAATCTTTGGGGTGTGGGTTTCTAGTTTGCAGGAAGCTGTTAATTCTAATGAGGTTTCTGCTGGTCTCTTGTCAAATGCTTTGAGTTCCCTTAATGATCTGAAATCTACGCTTCATTCATATAACAAGAAACTTGCGGAGGTAAGATTTACTGCTTTTTCCCTTGAGAATGCCTCAACATATCCCCCCTTGTACTTAGCAGGTTCTCTCTACTACTAAATTGCATGGCTCGATTTAGAAACCATTCTGGCCGCACCTGACTTACTGTTTTGGAATCCTGATTAAAGGGATAGCATTATCCACTATGGTGGGAGTAAATATTATTAGAGAATCATGTACTTCACCTCTTGCCCACTTCAACTCGTGCTTAGTTTGTGCAATAAGGATATTTGCAGATATATAGGAAATTTGCTTGTGTATAGTTTTCTGCGAATACGATAGCATCGAAATTGAAATAACTGACTTCTTGTAGGCTGAAGATATTCTTGCTGAGGTATTTTGTTCAGTTGGGGAGATGCAACAAGCAATTGATCACTGTACAATATCCATTCAGGTGAATTTGCTTTTATCAGGCTATGACTTTGTTTTTTCTTCATGCACTCATCTGTGTTTATAGTATTTGTCTCTGCTGAAAATAGCAATATGCCTATAAATGCTTGTGATTTTGAGTTTGAATAACTAAGTGCCAGGCAGAGATTCATCACTTGGTTTGCAACATAAGATACAATGAATGTCATTTGCATAACTCCTCACTCTCCTTCCTGTGTGAAGAAAAATATAACATTCCCTTGCCACTTTGTTAGACTTTTATTCCACTTAGGTTTCTCGCAAAACGTTTTATAGTTTATGAATCATATATCCAATGCCTGCATTCAGAAATTAAATTATTTCGGTTAATTACGCATTATAAATTAGAAAATAAGACCCAATAAAAACCCCGATTTTGATAATAACACCACTAAAAAAAAAAAGTTATATTATAACACCACCAAAAATCCCAATATTTTGGTTTCACCACCCACTAACGGATATTTGGATGGAAACCGTTAGTGGGGCCCACTAGGGACAAGTGTCAGTTGTTTATTGGTTTTAATTAAAGAAAAACCCCTAAACCCTAACCCAGCAACCAGCCCCACCACCGGCGGCCGTGACTCCACCACCGAAGAACCCCACTGCCGCCGGAAACCCTTCCTTCACCGGCAGAATCACCGGCCATCACCCCCACCGACATTAGCCCCCCCGCAAATCCCCTTCCCCCTTCCCTCTCCCCGAAAAATCACCCCCACCCACCATAGCCCCCCCGCGAAAACCACCTAGCCAGTTCGCCCCCTTGCCGAAAACCACCCCTGGAATTACCCCTCACCTTCAAACCAACCGAAATCGACCTTAGAAGCCTCAGATCTATCGATTTCGCGGTGGAGGCGAACGGAATTGGTTGTTTTCGCCGGTTTGTGGTGGTAGTTTCCACTGATTGGTGGGATCTGCGGGGGGCTGATGTCGGTGGGGGTGATGGCCAGTGATTTCGCCGGTGAAGGAAGGGGTTCCGGCGGTGGAGTGACGGCCGCCGGTGGTGGGGCTGGGTTAGGGTTTAGGGGTTTTTCTTTTTTTTTTTATTTTACTTTTTTTTTTTTATCTTTCTTTTTTTTTAAGCCAATACCTTATTGACACGTGGCCCTAGTGGGTCCCACTAATGGTTTCCATCCAAAAATCCGTTAGTGGGTGGTGAAACCAAAATTTTGGGATTTTTTGGTGGTGTTATAATAAAACTTTTTTTTTTAGTGGTATTATTATCAAAATCGGGGTTTTTATTGGGTGTTATTTTCTAATTTAGCCTAAAATTTATTTTCATTGACATACAATTGAGTGCACTTCTTTCATGTTTCATTCAATGAGAAAGCAACTGAGAAGTTTGTAAATGCCTTGTGAAGCTCTATATGTTATACGGAGTAGAAAGTTTTTCCTTTTGTATAATATGCAAAGTAAAGCGCAGTTATTGGACCAAGAGGGAACAGATTTGGGACCTTTTTGGTATCAGTGTCAGTTTTTGGTTTTTGTGAACGATGGGAACATTACTTTTTATAGAATGTTTTCAAACAAAAGAAAAAATTGCTCCTGAGTTTAGAATACCATCTAAGTTCTAATAAACTGACCTCTCTACTTCTCTGCCCACAGATTCTTAAGAAGCTTTACAGTCCTGGTCACATTGCTGTCGGAAATGAGCTTGTAAAGCTATCATCACTACAGCTAGCTTTGGGTGATGCTTCTGCTGCTGTAGATACTGTACATCAGATGAATATAATATTCTCAAACTACTATGGGAAGCATGCAGAGTTGATGTTTCCATATCTGCAATACCTTAAAGGGGGGGTGGTTCACAAGCTTGCCGATGGAAGAAAATCATGATACATCAAATGCATGCTCATAGGACAGTACCTGGATAACTCAGTTTATGCTGCTGCTATCTTTTTTTTTTTTCATGCTGGGGGGCAGAGATGGGGAGAGACGTGGATAAGATTGGTGCATGTGACATAAGTTCATATGGCGATATTGGTTGAGTAATCCAAACTGTTTATTTTCAATTGCTGTGCAGTTTTTGTGTAAATTTGTGAATAGAAGCACACTATGAATTGCGTAGGCCCGTAGAGCACCAGCCAAACTAACTGAAATTGATGTAGGATGATTGTTAACTCTATAGTACGCGGCGCATCAGCTATGGTAATGGAGGAGGAAATGGTTTGGGAATATCGAATATGGGATGGTAATAGATTGTCACAATCTGACAGCCAAACCTCCCAAAATTTAAGTTTACAAAGTGTTTTCACTTGAGCTACACCAAGGTGATCTAGGCACATACCTGATATAGTGATAGCGGAATATATTCCCCCTAATACGGTATATTGTAAATTTCGAACCTTTTATATAATGAGAATTAACACATGTTGGAGAGGGGGGTAGTATAATGAGAATAAACACATGTTGGTGATGGGGGTTGCTCGTAGAGGGAAAGAGTGGCAAGTAGAGAAAAATGCGCATAAGAGCAACTGACCGTGGCGCCAATGTCCATTTGGGTGGGTATCAATAGAACCAAAATTTAAGAAGGTAGCCCATTAAATAAGGAATTTCTCATTGGTAGCCATTAAAATTTAAAAAAAAAAAAAAATGCTATTAAAAAAAATAGAGAAAGTATTGACATTGTAACAGAAATAGTGTAAGGAGTATTCTTCAAATTGCAAAGAGTATTGACAAAAGGAGTAGTTATTTTATTGATATCATTACCAACAAAGTGTTGGCTCACTTGGTAAATTTCTTCCTTCGTAGTCTCGTACCTTAGAGATCTAGGGTTCAAATCCTACCAAGTGAGGGTGCTTAGGGATAAGGATTCTCTTACCCTCCCCTCTACTTCCAAGTGCTTGGCCTGCTAAACTAGACCCAAAAAACACGAGAATCAAAGAGAAATACGGAGTATTTTATAAAATTTGAGTGGCCTTATAAGTAACAGTTTTTCCTTTTTTGCTATTCTGTTTTATGTACAAAAATACCATGGTATGAAAGTCGTCTAATGGGGAGAGAGGGTAAAGAGGATGAGGATTGAGCCTGTTGATGGTGGTCTCAGGACTTGCTCCACCAAGGCCACAACAATTTCACATTGACTCCTGGGACAAGCACCTAACGATTCGCACTGTGTCAGGATAATACCTCTTGAGAATTGTCATCTTTCAAGATTGAGCAATGCATTGTTCTCTTTGGCCAGGCCATTTTTCGATTTAAGAAACATCAGTTGTAATCAAAATAATGAAATGAAGAATATGGCCTGTAACATGCAACATATTACCTTGCATGAAAATAAGGCGTAAACTATTTAGATAGTACTGTAACTTTGAACTGAAAACATGTAATTTCTACACAGACTGTTCTATGTCCTAGAGAATCGCTATTGTTGCTTGCTCTACATTTTACATATACATCCTGGACCTATCCAGATCCCCAAAGAATGCCACTGAATCAAAACATTACACTGCATTGCTTGATACAAATTAATAAACTGCACAAGGTAAATATTTAGCATACAAAGGGGAGTAAACCACACAACAAATGATTGTCCCAAAATTAGGCGTCTCCCTGAAGTCCACAAGGCTATGTCTCAATTTTTTCCACGGAATGCAGACAAAGAGAAGAAAGATCTTGAACCTAATAAAATAACAGCAAAGATAATTTAGCAAATAGTTGAAGCAGCTTAGAAGCAGTAATTATTTAAGTATGATTATGACTTACCTCTCGAAGAAGCATGGCCGTCTTGAAACTTATTTGAACTTCTAGCAGAGGTGTTGCTTGTGTTTGATCGAGCTACATACAAGAAAAAAATTGTAATTAATAACAGCAATGTTTCAGAAACAGTAGTATACCAAGCTATGTTGTCGATATAAACCATTAAAAGCATGAGATTGAAATTCCTATCATTTGTGAGGTTTAATTGAGAATTAAATTGATGACAATTATAATTGCTGCAAACTTACCAGAATGTGGTTCGGAATCAGACAGAAATCCTTCTGCGTAGTTCTTTGAGTGGAGTGCAACCTTCAGCAAATTGTCTGAGTTTCTCTTACCAAGGTTTCGATATTCATCTCCATCATCCTCTCCTTCAGATGTATATGGACTTGCCCAAGTACCTCCATTAGCTTCTTTATTCTTTCGAGCAAACTTCAAAAGTCTCTTAAAGCCTTTAGGAGCATCTTTTTGGTAAACCATGGAAGGTGGATGTTCAGCATTTCCCCACTCAATTATGTCAGGTTCACTGGTTTCTTCCAGAAGCATCTGTGAGAGTGAATGACGAACTCTGGTTCCCGAATCCACAGTATCAGGATTGGGAAGAGATGAAGCAGTGCTGTCAGTACTTGGACCAGCCGCATCTGGCAGGTTGCTTTCCTCCCAGGCAGCTGGTGATATTAGTGATTCTTGCGCAGGTGGAATCTGAATCTTAGCTGGTGACTCCAACATTCTGTCAACAACTTCATCATCTTGAGCAGGGGCTTCAACAGAAATCTCTTTTTCACCGCTATCTTCAGGTTTTTCTGCCTCTGTTTCTATTTCAAGTTCAAGATGATCATATTGAGTCTGCAAATCTTCAGACTCCAGATGAACTGTATCTGAAGTAACAGTCACAACATTATCTGCGATATTAAGAGGATCTACAGATTTGCTCAAAATTTCTTCTGCTTGAGGGAGAATCCCTCTCTTTCGACTAGCTGAATTTTTTGCAGGGCTTTTTTCCAAAATTTTTGTAGGACTTTTTTCCAATAATTTTGCAGGGCTTTTTTCCGAAACTTTGCGAACAGATGGCTTCACCTCAAGTGGGACCACACTACTCTTCTTGGTCACCTTCTTACGCACGACTGCTTTAGCTGGATTGACAGCAGCAGCATCCTCTTCAGGAGCCATCGTTTTAATCATTGATCTCCCACTTTTTGGCACCATACGGCTTTTATTGTCATCCACTTTCTTCAAGTTTTTTTTAGTATCAATCTGTTGTTTCTTGACATCTTTCTGTTGCAATTGAGGTTTTTCCAACTTTGGGCTAGGACGCGATACTGGACCAGGAGATTGGGATTTCTGACGAGGTGCTAGAGATTGGGATTTTTGACGAGGTACTGAAGTAACTGAAGATGTTATTGTCGGACTTTTAGTTGGTAATGTTTCAGTCATTCTTGGTGAAGGCGTTGATGGCCATGATTTCCTAGTGGCAGGCAAGGAAGATGACCTAGATGCAAGCTTCTTTGGCACAGCTGGTTTTAAAGATTCCTTTTTGGAATTCAAAGAAACAGGCGAATTTTTGTTAGCATTCAGAGTTCTGCTTGCAGGGAGTTTCTTTACTATATCACTAGCCTTAGCAGTGGATTTTTCTGGCTTAGGCTTCTCTGGAACTCTTTGCTTAGGTCTAATGCCAGCCTGCTTCTCTACCCTCTTTCCAGACTTCTCCCTAGACATTTTTTCGTCTTTCTTCTCTTTGTGATGACTGTTAACTCCACCGCTTTGCCCCAAGCGAGATACACGATTCTTTTTATTATCTGGCTCTGTTATTTTATGGTTGCTCATGTTATACTCTGCAAATTTCATCAGCATCTTGTTCAATTCCTCCTCTTTTTGCCTATTCCATTCAGCTGAATCTACTTTTTCAAAAGTCTCCTCTGTCTGACACACTAGGCCTTCATCTTCACTTGGATTCAGAGCAATAGTTTTGCCCCCCTCTGATCTCATATTCTCCTCCATATCCTGATCCTCAGTATCAGGAACTGCATCCAATTTCACTTCTGCACTTCTTTGAACGTCCTCATATTCAGCATTATTCTCTGAAGCTGTATGCTCCATTGTGTCCTGAGTCATGGACTTTTGAGACTCACTCATCCCAGAACTCCATCTCCTCAACACCGCCTTGTTTGGGTTTGTAGAGTTATCAGTTGCTGTTTTTTTCTGACCCTCATCTGTTTGATCTCTCTGTTTTCTTTCAAATAAACTGATAGCATCTTGAACACTCATCCTAGTCACATTGATCTCAGTCTTTTTAGTTGGTTCATCAGACTCTTCACATGTGTCCCTGTAAGATGAGGTTTTATCTCTGGCAGGAAAGTGTGTAAGGCTCTTAATAGTTAGGGCAGGAGTCCGACGAGATCCTGATCTACCTATTTGGACCTTTCGCATCGGAGATGCTGATCTTCGTGGAGATGCAGATCTTACAAGAGTTCGACTTCTTTCAGTAGCAGAAGGCCGATCATCCTCACTTGAGAAAGACGAGTTATCACTCCCTGTTGAACTTTGCCTCTCAAGTTCAGCAGCTTTTGCTGGTGATGCATTGTACTGTACAGGTTTCAACGAATTTGTTTGTCCCGCTGTTTGGATAAATGCATTAATCTTGTTTTCATAGTCACTCTTTGATATCGTTGGGACAGGAGACTTCTTATTGTTCACAGGGACATTAGTCTGACCTTTTTGGCTTCTCTCTGACAATTTTAACAACAGAGTTCTGAAAAAATAAATATTCAGAAACAAAGTAAAATGAGAATTAAATATTTTTATGCATTTCCACTATTGAGGCAATAATTACAAGAGGGATATGACATACCTGACATCTACATCACCAAAGTGTTGACAAAATTCTTGGAGACAATTCATTTCTTGATAGGATAATGCAGCTCCAGCTGCTACGTTAAAAGTTGAAACCAATTCTTCTGTCAAAGCTGCAATTCTGGAGTCCATTGCCCGAAGTAATTCATTCCTAGCAGTAGCATTCACATACATGCTTCAGTAAACATATTCCGAATCCAGACTCAAATTTGCAAAAATAAAACAATGAATAGAAACTAGGGGTCAAGATTAATTACTTTGAGTTATCTGATGATGTAACCCGATCAGCCTGTAGGCAAACAATGCCATTGCAGCACACATTAGTATCAGAATCAAGTGGCAGCCACAAAGTAAAAAAAAAAAAGTTGTAAGTTGTATACATTACCTGGGTATATAACGAAAGATGAAACTTCCTCGTTTCCTCCAACTGGGACAACTCATTACAGATAGTGATTGATTTCTTAAGGGCATCAGGTGAATTAATTATTTGAAGAAACCTGCACAAAAATAAATTCTTTAAACATTGCCCCTGGACTGGAATCAGTGCAAGAGCAAAGAGCGCTAAAAAGAGGAAACGAGCAACTTCATAGATCAAGACCTGGCTAAAGTGGCTTTTGTGAACCACCCCCTGTCACCAACGGAATTTGGTAACACTAGTATGAAGTTATCACAAGATCCTTTCACAATTTGATCCTTTATGCTGGGTAGATGTTCCAAGAGTTGATCAAGAGGACCGTCTGCAACCATTTCCTCTTCCTCTTTGCTACATATACATGCACCATACCTGAAACGAAAGATATATCTTCGACTTTCAGGCACTTTAAGTTCAGAGTTTAGGACTTCAACATGAAACACCCTTAAGCATAGGCAACTAATATTAGATGAAATTCTACAAAGTAGTCGAATAAATACTATAGTAACAATTCATAACAAAAAAACAAATGACTTAGTCAAACATCTCACTGGAATTTGAATTCATCTACCAGTCAATCACGGATTCACGGATCATAATTGCCAATAATTATAACCCAAAATAAACCAAAGTCAATGATCTCCAGCTATAACATCAAAGTTTCACACTTAACATATGGTACGAAAAATCAAACACAAACCATTTACTCTTCTATTCATCATTAAGTAAGAACTACAGATCTAATTCTATGAATGAACCTCACATTTTTATGCACATTTTATACCATCAACTCACAACATCCAACACTACTTGAATCGAAGATCAGTTTCGTAGTCATAAAAACTCGAATTAAAACATTCGGCTTAATCCACGATGTCCCATAAATAAAACAGTAGTTTAACTGCCGACACATAATCAATTAATCATAAATCATTCACTTTACTCTCCTCATTTCTTTTGAATTTTGAATGCAACATTAGCTTTTTCGACACCCACTAACTCGAACCAAAGACAAACATTTGATTGTAACCAAAGTTTTTCCAGATCATAAAGCTAATTATTCAAATAAATTCACTGACCCCACTGCCCAAAATCTATAATCTTATCATTATAATGATGAAAAAAACACTAATTAAGAAAAAAAAAAACCCAAATAAGCATATGCATTAACTTTTCTACTAATTCAACTAATTTACAATATACAACAATCAAATTTGAAGCAAAAAATAGATGAACAAATCTAACCTGTTTTCTGGCAAAATTCGAAATGTGACATAATCCATTTTTCAACGATTCGAAGAAGTTCAGATATCAACACCACCAAAAAAAAACTGAAATGCGTATCACATAATTGCATTGTTAGTACAACAAATTCAAATAAAATTTAAACTAATTTTCTTCATTGTCTTGGGTAAATTTTTTTTAAAATCAAATTCTATAAAAAGTAACCAGTGAAGATAAAATCCCAGATCTAATAAACACTCAACTCCCAAAAAAGGAAATGCTACTAAAAATCCAAAATCACTAAAATTCATCAAAATGGGTATTTTTGCTAAATTCATTGTAAAGACCCAAATGCTTCAAAAAAACAAAAATAAAAAAGGGTATTTCAATTCTTAAGCAAATCGGGAAGATACCCATGAAAGTTGGGATTGTTTTGCAGCAATTTAAGGGTACATTAAGTGTCTGAAAATGGAAAATAAAATTGAAAAAAAAGGGTACCTGGGAAAATCCGGTGAAATTAGACAGAAAAACAAAAAGTTTAAGAGAGAATATTAGGAGGCACAGATCTTGTGGGAGATGATTTTCTGGGTTTTTTTTTTTTGGTGAATTTTGTATTTTGAGATTTTGAATTTAACTACAGAAGAAGAAGAGTTGAATAGTGTAGTTAAATTTTTTTTTTAGAGAAAGTGGAGGAGAGAGAAAATGAAGAAGGGTTTGGGTTTGGGTTTGGGTTTGGGTATAATGTGCTAAATGACGAAGACCAGCAAACAATGTACCGACTGGAGAGACTGGAGTGTGAGAATTGTTTGGTTTACGTGGAAGTTAGTACGATAATCATTTCTTATTATTATAGTGTATGAGTGTAGTATACTGAAGGCGCGTTTAAAGTTTTATTCACTTTCCGTTTTCATTTACTAGTAAATTTCTTCATGTAATGTTTATACTCTTGTAAAGTTGTAATCTTTTTTGGGTGTCTTAAAATGTTGTGTTTGTTTCGAACATTTCTTGATATATCAATTTATCAACACCCCAATAATCCTTATTGAAGTAAAGCTTATTATCACGGAATGTGCATTGAAACATAATAAATAACCCTTTAAATCAACGCATTTTGTTCTCATACGCCCCCTACGGAAACTTCAAAGGATATAATCTATTCTAAAAGTATGACATATATGGTGAGTAATTTTCCCTAAAAGAAGAATTTTTTTGCTAGTATGAATACTTTGTCAAATTCTTCCAAAGCAATAATCATGGTAAGTATTTTACCTCCTTTATAACAAAAATGCAAAGATTAATTGGATTGTATGTAGTGAATGGGAAATTAGACCATATATATTCTTATTCTTAGTATTCTCTGTCGGTTCTACGTGGTTAAAATTGACCATATATTACATGGGGTTACCTCTAATGACAATTTAGTATAAATTTCACTTAAAATTGATAGGAGAATTTGTCAAAAAAAAACCTTTTAGATGCACCATTTTGCGGAAAAAAAAAAAAAAAAAAAAAAAAAAAAAACCTTTTAAAAGTTTTTTGGCAAAAAAAACCCGATTTTTAGCATTTTGGCAAAAGAAAACTTAATTGTGAAGTTTTTTTTTTGTTGAAAACAACCAAGTGCCTCTAATTCGCTTAATTAACCTCTAATTTATTCTAATTAGCATTTTGGCAAAAGAAAACCTAATTGTGAAGTTTTTTTTTTGTTGAAAACAACCAAGTGCCTCTAATTCGCTTAATTAACCTCTAATTTATTCTAATTATCCTCTAACACACACCGAACCATTTAATAATTAAATTAATTTTGAAAAAAAAAAAAACAAAAACCATCACCCCACACAACCAGCCAGCCACCCCCCTCATCTTCCCTTCCCCTTGCAACAGCCCTCCTCCCCCACGCCGCCTAGAACCCCTTATCCCCGACGACCCACCTTCACTGTCTGCCGACCCCACCTTTCCCCTTACCCCCGACCCCCCCTTTCCCCCTTACCCCCAACCCGCTGCAATCCTCCACTTCCCTTCGAACTTCTAACTCTCATTTCTCTCTTCACTCTCAAACACACTACCAAAATTTGCTAGGATTTTCTTGGAAGCTTCAAATCAAGCTCTCCTACACAATCAATGTATTCTTGCTTTGATTTTATCTTATAATTTGCTCGAATTTTGCGATTATTTTGTCCGAAAACCCTAGAAGAATAGATTTGGGGGGTTTTAATTTTGTGCATCTTGCTTGCAATTGATGCTTGTTTTGGTTTTTTGATTTATGTATGTATGTGATGCTAGGATAAGTTAGAAGCAAATTGCAATTGATCTGGACTTGATTTGAGCATGTTTGAGTTAATTAAAGCCAAAAATTGAAAATTGCTTACTTGTGGTGGTCGCCGGCGGGGATAAGGAGGATAGGGAGGGTTGGCCAACGGTGGAAGTAAGTCGCCGGGGGTGGGGGGATCTAGGCGGCGGGTCCTGTTTCGGGGTTTTCTGATGTCCTGCGGGAGAGTTACAATTCCGAGACTGGAACCGGACGCCTGTACCTGCAAAACAAACGGAGACTCCTTGTGGTAGGAGCTCCGCCTCCGACGATCAAGTTAGTACTTGTTTGAGGAGTGATAAATGCGGAAAGTAAAGGTAGGAGATCTGGTTCCTCTAGGGGAGGAGTGATCAATGTGTTTTGGTTTTCTCTAGGTGAGAGTCATTAATTGCTGAATCCCCTTTAATGAGGATTAATTAAGTATTTATAGTCTTGAGAAGCGTGCCAATTTTAGGTTTAGGTTAACCAGGGCAAAATTGGGCTTCTCTCGGACTTTGGGCCTTGGTGGCCATTTTGCCTATTTGGCATATGGGAGGCCACGTGGCGTGGCCTGATTAGTCCATGTTGGACCTCTTAGGGTGACAAATGGCGGACGCTGATTGGCCCACGTGGTGGACACGTGGCAGGTCCGAATTGGTCCATTTGTCATGGGTAATTTTTACCCTAAACATTTGCCCCTCGGAATGAGTAATTTCTCTTTCCAGGAGGGATTGCTCCTTTCGAAAGTTAGACCCTCGAAGCTTTGCTAGGTCGGCATCTTGTCTAGTTCTAATGGGAGATGGACTTGATTAACTTAGAAAATTTTGATACCTTGGGCGGTATGACATTTTCAAAGTTAATCAATCATAATAATGATTGCCGCCGAACTAGACAGATGCCGATTATTTGCCCCACTATGCAGATAGCCCCTGATCAGGTGGACTCTCAACTATTGCATAAGGGGTAAGCATTTAGCATTATTCGGCCATTGGCCTCTTTTGATTCAATATACTAAGTTTGGTACTTAGTTTATTTCGTTGGGGGATGGCTGGTCGTCTGCTTTGGTGGCTGCATAGAAGCAGGCGTTAGACAGGACGTCCAACCAAAGTAGCTACGCCTGCTGGGTTACAGACGACAGCTTTAAGTATAGCCAACCTAGTAAGAATAGTGGTCGAGTACCTCTGTTTACCAAAAAACAGGCGGACTCCTCATACCTTTTAGGTTCCGTACTAAGGAGGGCGACTGGTTAACCTTGCGGTTAGTCAATCACTGCCTATTATGTTTGAGTGGTAGGGAAACCAGGCGGCGGGGGCCGGATAGTCCCCTTGATTCGCCAAGTTTTTCTTGGCTATTAACTCAAAGGTTGTTAACCTAGCAGGAGTAGTGGTTGAGAGCCCCTGTTTGCTAAAAACAGGCGGACGACTCATACCTTTTGGGCTCCATACTAAGTTTGAGAGAGTGACTATGAGTTAACTTTGGTGTTACTCAGTCGCCGTCACTCCTGCTTGAGTAGTAAAGGTACCAGGCGGCGGAGGCCGGCTGAACCTTTTGATTCGCCAATGTTTGTTAGCTATTAACTCAAGAGGTACCCCCTGAATTTATCCCAAGTAATACAGGGGGTCATCCGACTCAGATGTCAACTGCTACCACCGGTTTGGTTAGTGATAGAGTTATCCTTGTCTCAAAAACGGCTACGTGGTTGCCCTTGGGGACAGTCGAATAGGTGCCGTGTAATGATTTTATAGAACAATGTTCCACCCAAAAGGGAGCTGCTCTCTGCGACGAATTTCATCCGGATGGATGCCGTCGGACGCCTGCTATAATGTTGGGACAGGTCGAATTGAACTTATATTTGGATCAGTTGGCTTGGCGCCTGGTCTGATCATTTCAGCCATGAGCCTTTGATAGTTCTTGGTGAACTGAGTATAGTGGAGTAGCTGTCTGTTTTGGAACCAGTCGACCCTTTTCTTATGGAGAGTAGCCAACTATATGTCCAGACGGCATGCCCCTCTGGTGATAGAGTAAAATAATCAATGGAGAGTAGCCGACTGTAGAGGTACAACGGCATGCCCCTCTGATGATAGAGTGAAATACTCAATGGAGAGTAGCCGACTGTAAAGGTACAGGCGACATGCCCCTCTGAATTAGTATCAAGTATTGAAATAATTTCAAGTGTTAGAGTAGATAGATCACTTAGCTCCCTTCCATGGAGGACTTAGCTCCCTTCCATGGAGGATTGGTGACTCTACTTTCTTCGAATAGGAACAGTTGTTTTAATGTGGTTTGCGACCTTGCTGTTCGGCCCACACATTTTCCGCCGGTCTTTAGCCCCTTAGTGAAATTAATGAGGGTCGACTGCTTTCATAGCTTCGAGACTTCGTCGTATAGGGGGCCGACTACTATTCATGCCGCCTCTCTTGCTTGATAGATTGTCACACAAATAAGTGGAGGACGGTCTTCAGTAAGGTGCCGCCTAAACAGAAGGGAGACGGTCTTCAATAGGGTGCCGCCTAAACAGCCGGTTTTACTAACCTTAGGCAATTTTTTTTTTTTTTTTTTTTTTTTTTTTTTTTTTTTTTTTTTTTTTTTGCAATCATAATAATGATAATGTGCTTATGGTGACAACTCACACATAAGATGAGACTTCCTGAACAATCATGCGACAGGTTTTATACGATATGCAAGGCGTCAAGCCCCACACATGCTTGCAATGAACAAGCAATCGACTACTCTTTGGGTTTTGAGGCCGGCTGCTTGAGCTACGACGCTTTACATGCCGCCTGCTCAAGCTTCACATCCGGCCAAGCATGGTGCCGGTCTCCTTTGGTGGTTGATCAAAGAGAGCTGGCTCTCTCATAGCACCAAGATACGAGGGGGTGTTTTCAATAATCATTTGGCATGCCGCCTGTTGTATGATGTCGATTGCCGAGCCACTTGTATATAGCTTGCATATTCACAGGTGGCTTATTATGCCGCTTGTGTTTCTAATTCATCTTCAGTTTTCCACTCAGCAAGGAGTCTATCAAACATACGGCTTTCGCCCCTTGCTTGTGCTACTGCCGGATGCTTTAATCATAGGTGCCCATGCTCCACCTTGTACTTTGTCAATGATTTCAAAGGCCGGCTGGTTCTGCCGTGATGTGCCGGCTGTTTTTAATTTCCGTATAGCCTGACTTGTGATGGTAGCGAGAGCCGCCTGTTATGAAAATTTACAAACTCTCAAGATTAGACGTCCACTCCCGTCTTGTGTATTATGATTAAAAAAAAATTTTGCCATGCATAACGAACACACTCTTGTCTTGCTGTGCCTTTGCTTGCTAGCTTGTGGCACAAATTTATGCAATTTCAATGGTTCATTGGTTTAGTTTTATGAGCCTAGGACCCACACTGCTTGGGAGCTTTGATATATCAAGCGTCTAGGAGAGACAATTACATCAAATAGCCCTTGTTTATATGAGCGAAGCCATTCAGCTGCTTATTAGAGACGCTTGTCCTTGAAGTGCCGTATCACAACCTGTGCGACCACTCTTAAACTCCCATGTGTAGGGAAGTATGCTACGCATTCCATAGTCCCGCATTCGTTTACTGAGTTAGCTGT